CTCCTGCCTCAGCCTCCTGAGTAGCTGGGATTACAGGCACGCGCCACCATGTCCAGCTAATTTTTTGTAGTTTTAGTAGAGACGGGGTTTCACCATGTTGACCAGGATGGTCTCGATCACTTGACCTCGTGATCCACCCGCCTCGGCCTCCCAAAGTGCTGGGATTACAGGCTTGAGCCACCGCGCCCGGCCGCTAATTCTTTTTGTATTTTGAGTAGAGACGGGGTTTCACTGTGTTGGTCAGGCTTGTCTTGAACTGCTGACCTCAAGTGATCCGCCCGCCTCGGCCTCCCAAAGTGTTGGGATTTCAGGCATGAGCCACTGCGCCCAGTCTTTATGTTTGCTTTTGAAGGGGTGTTCTTTTCTGTGTATACAATGGAAGGAGAAGAGCCATGGCCTTTGGCTATTCTGGTGGTCATCTCCATCATGCTTCATAATAAACATAGCCTTTATCCCTCTATATTAGGTTCTTAAGTTCCTAGGGATGCTGTAACAGGTTACCAGAACTTGGGAGCTTAGAACAATAGAACATGATCCTCTCACATTTCTGGAGGTCAGAAGCATGAAACCAAGTTGTCTGAAATTCTGTGTTTCCTCTGAAGGCTCCTTGGGAGAATCCTTGGACTCTTCCGGCTTCTGGTGGCTCCTGCTATTCCTTGGCTTGTGGCTGCACCACTCCAGTTTCTGCTTCCATCTTCACAGGGCGTTATTCTCTGTGTTTCCCTATCTTCTCTTCTCATAAGGAGAACCAGTCATTGGACTTAGGGCCCACCCTAAATCCAGAATGATTTAATCACAAGACTCCCCCACCCCTGCAACTGATTACATCTCTAAAGATCCTACAGATTATATCTGTAAAGACCCTCAGGTTACACGCTAAAGTTTGGGTGAACATGAATTTTGGGGAACAATATTCAACCCACTACAGTTATTGTGGTAATCATTCCCATCATTCTACATGATAAACACAGGTCTTTATTTGTCATTTTAGGTTATTTGTAAAGTTATATAAATCAAAACATATAATCTGGTATCATTTATCATAAGATCATCTGGGGGTCTCGATGAGGTTTGTAGCCTGTATCTCATGTCCTTAAATCAAAATTAGTCAAATCAAAAAGTGATGTTATTTGGCTTGTTAAAATATACTCCAACAGATGGACAAAATGAACTCCTGATTCCTAAAATGAGATACACCAAAAACAGAATGTCACAGCCAGCAAGATGAGGGGCTAGTTACATATTTTTGTGTTATTAACTGCTATTAAGCAGAAAACAGCTTCAAAAAAGCATTACCAACACAACTTCAGCTAAAAAGTTTCCAATTGACCCCGCTAGACTGCCTGATCCTAGCCAACGGAAACATTCCCTCCCTCTTTCCCTCCACCACAGCAGTGCCTTGTGGTCCTACTACAACTCCGACTGGACAAAGGACTGGCCTTTTTTTTGTTGTTGTTTTTTGAGATGGAGTCTTGCTCTGTCACCAGGCTAGAGTGCAGTGGCACAATCTCAGCTCACTGCAACCTCCACTTTCCAGGTTCAAGTGATTCTCCTGCCTCAGCCTCCTGAGTAGCTGGGACTACAGGCGTGTGCCACCATGCTCGGCTACTTTTTGTATTTTTAGTAGAGACGGGGTTTCCCCATGTTGACCAGGATGGTCTTGATCTCTTGACCTCATGATCCGCCCACATTGGCCTCCCAGAGTACTGGGATTACAGGTGTGAGCCACTGTGCCCAGCCAGGACCGGTCTTACAAACATTCTTTATTGATAAACAACTGCAGACTTTAAGCCAATGTCCACCAGCTTATAGAAATTGCGCATGAAATGTCTTTGTGCCCTATAATTCACAATAGTGTTGATTCCAGCTCATTTTAATACTAGAACTCCACCCCAAAGTGAACATGGAATGTATGATACATATATGTTTATCCACTGTACACATGCCTGAATTTCCTCATAAATATTAATAGATACCCTGCAACCCTGCTCAATATGTACATAAGGCTGACTCTGTAATACACAGATGCCAGCTCCCTCCACCCTTCTGCAGCGAGTGCATTTTTGGTTTTTCCTGTAAGCCACATTCCCCAGTCTGCATGTTGTATCTCCCTCTAAAAATAAAGTATCCTTTCCTTCCTCCGTGGATCTCCTGATCTCTGTGAACAGACGTAAACAGCAAGCACGGGAGATGTTGGATAGTTGGCTGCCTGCATCTTCACTAAATTATCCAGCTTCTTTCTGAAATTATCCAGCTTCTTTATAAGTCAGGGGTTGATTGAGATTTATTTTAAGACGCATTTGGAATGTTCGATATTCATGTTAATTATGTTGAAGCGCATTAGTGTCATTGGTATAATACATTAGAAGGAATCTTTTAGCTGGAGTTTTCAGATTTTTAATTTGTGCATTTTTAGGCTCATTTTGGAAAGAATAAGCTTAAAAAAATTCCTAGTGAAAAAAGGGAGGACTAGGAATTTGAGGGTAGCATATCAGGAG